AGTCTATTTGGCTTAATGAATCTATATATTTAATTTTATATATACTTGTAGTATAAATTTATTCTATTATTAAGTTATAAAATCGCTGACTTTAGTGCATTTTTGGTGAATTTTCGCTAAAAAATTAGGGGTGCGCACGGAATTCTGGCAACCACTGGTGGTCTAGTTAGACCCGATTCGGCTTAACGCTCATTGTGTCCTGTACCTCGCAGCACCTTTAAACACAATTCGAAGTTTGATGAGAGTAATTTCCTAATGTGGGCTGACTGCAGGGCTTTGTCCTCCAAGATTATTCGTTTGGAGCGTAGTATTTTGCCTGCATGTACAGTAGATATCTTGATCACCGATTGTATCTCAGGCTCTAATGGCAAGGTCTTTTGCAAGCCGGGCATGGAAGTGCATATGAGTATTACCATCTCTTTTGAACAGTATGCTTCAAAACCATTGATCAAATGCTAGGGATGGCTTTCACCAAGGGAAGGCTAGAATAAGCAAAGCAGCAAAGGGTTACGCAGAAGCACGCAGAAAGAAGTGAGGGTTATAGGTCAATCAACAGCAACATCTGAGAAGATTTATACCAACAACTCCTGTCCATTCAAGGCCCAATCCTACCTTAAGGTAGCTCAAGAACCCCCTGAGGCGTAGCAGGAATAGCATCCAACTCCCACGCAGCTCCACCATTCATCTTCGGCTTAACAGCCGCCCCAACCTCATCCCACTGCACCGTAATCGCATCATGGCCCTTATTATACTTCATCCCCTTGAACCACAACTCGAACCTCAGATCCGCGGGCGCTATGATGACCTTCACTGAAAACGTGGCGATGTAGAATTTCTTCCCTTGCCAGATCTTTCGGTTTTTGAGCTCGAATTCGTTTTCGCCGATGCCGGTCAAGTCTGATTCTATCTCGCAGAGTTTGAAGGCGCCAGCTGTCGTTGGGTTTTGTTAGGACTGGAGGGTGAATGGGTGGGTTTATGTTTGGGTAGGCAACTCACGATGTTTGTAACTCCTTGGCAGATCCTTCCTGTCTTCATGTGAGATCACAATCATCGTGCGCCAGATGCGATTTGGATCTCCCGGTACCAATTTCCGCGAGAATGTGCGCTCGTGCGCACCGCTCGTGTCAATAGTATCACCCTACATCTCAAGTCAGCAAGGCCACTGCCTCTATCTCTCTATCTCAATTGATAAATTCTACCTTTACGATGAGCCAATCAATTTGCGCCAGTGCCCACTTCTGCTTCTTCTTGAAACTATCAGTCACGATCTCCGCATCGACGTGTATTCTTGGATCATAAGGCTGTCGACACAGAACTCCGTAACTAGCTCGAGCACTGCAGACACCCAATTAGCAATCATTCCTTACTATTGCAACGCGAGCTTGCTACACTTCCACTTACATTCTAGTCTTCAAGGTAGCAGTCCCAGAATCCAATTTCTGTCTCCGATCAAGAACTAACCCTTTCACAACCGCTAGTCGCGGCTCCTGCGACTTTAGTATCGAGAGCTTTGTTGCGTTTGGATGGGGCTTTTCGGTGTAGAATTCTTGGATCTTGGTTTTGACGTATTGGGACCCTCCAAGGCCTCCACTTAGGACTAACATTTTCTGTGAAATCGACTATTAGTATATCTTGTGCGGTTTCGGAGTCTTGGATTTGGGAAATTTTACCACTTGCTCGCTGAATCTGTTTATTTGCATCCAGTCCAGCTGTTGCGTGATTTGGCGTATGATTGCTATGATCTGAATGTCGAATAGTTCTTGGATTTCTGCTCTGAAATTACAGTTAGCTTTATTTCACACGTCTTCCTTTTCTAGTTTCCTCAACAAATAAACTCAATATAGGGTTTCTGGGGACTTGGTCCCAGTTCTCATGGATCTCAATCTTCTCATCTCCATTGCATTTCGGCCCACTTTCGCGATTTCTATGCCTTGATTTGCATAATTATCAATAATTGCCCGGACCATGACTCTTCAATCAGTTGAAAGTATACCGGAATGAGGGTAGCCAAGAAGAAGGCGATAAGTCAAGTAGCATTCTCTTACCTTAGGAATCGCATTTTTCCAGAACTGATGCCCAGGCCCAGATGTTCGAATTGTGGACTGATGCCAAGTCCCAGTCGATCTAAAGCCAGTTTGTAGACTTCCTGTGTCGCGGCTTTTGTACCAAAATTGTGTTTGATAGATTGAAAAGACGATCCTCTGGCGATTTTATGGGCAAGCTCTTTCGGTAGCATAGCATCCGGGTGCGCATTTAATTTCCTCTGCACAAGTGCCTCGAACGCCCTATCAATCATTGTGGATCCAACCCCAACTCCTTTTACAGCGGCGACTTGCTTCAACAGCGGCTGCTTGGGGTCTGCGTCGTGCACTTCTATCAGTCCAAGGTCCGTCGTTCCACCACCAGCATCACAGATCAGGATGATGTCTTTGTTGCGCAATGCAACTTGCGGATTCGTCGCGACATAGACAGCTGCGGCCTCTGCTTCTGTAAGCTCTAACTTTGCAGAGTGCTTCGCGGGGTTATCTGAACTGAAGCCGGCTGCGACAATGGCTTTGTTGAATTTATTCGTCGTCTCGAATGATGTCCAAGTGGTGGGCAGACTGAAGAGAAACTCGATCTTCTTCTCAGTCCATGGCCCTGTTTGCGACTCGATCGAAAATTTGATGTGCTGATGAATCTGTCTCAAGTATTCTGTTACTAATTTCAGAGCTTCCTCTGTTGTTCCGACCACGTTTTTCACTCCCTCCTTTCGAGCCGAATCTATGGTTTCTTGATCGAGGTATATTTTGAAATGTTCGTGAACTTCGCCCACACCTTGGTATTCATCTTCTAAGTTGCAAAGGAAGCCCCATCTTGGCTCGGCGCCATCGTGAGGTATTATGATTTTTGTTGGCGCCTTCGTTTCTACTGAATCTGGGGGGAGTCCTGGCCAATCTTGGATACTTTGCGTAGTTGAGGTAGCCAAGTTGCTCCATGCGACACCTATAGACTTAATCAGCATATATGGGGAATAATCTCCTGTAGAAACTGTTACCTGTATATGTTTGGCCGAAGTCAATTCCGACAATGAAGTCTGGCCTTTCCTCTTGACTGGTCATTATTAAGCTTCTACAAGGCTCTGAAGTCCGAGAAGTTGTTGTGAAGATAAAACGAAAAGCTGGTCAGCCTCGCCCGATAATCTATCTGATTTCGTAACCCCATCGCGTTTCATATCCTAAATTAGCTCAGTTATCGAGCGCCCCTTGGTTATTTGCTGCGGATGTATTCAATTTCCTACATGGATGAAATACGCCTCCTACCGCCGCCGTCGGCACTCACACTTTTTGAAGTCTGACAGCCCTGCTATAAATAAATCCACTACTTAGTGTAACCTGATAGAATCCTATAAGTCTAACTGACTCTTTACCCTAGTATATATACATAAGAGCAAAAGTACCCCCAAATTAAAGTGATACTTCTATAGAGTATATTAGTGCCTCTTAGAAGCCCTGTTATAGTCGAATTTAAGCTTTTTTAGTGGCGAGGTATACAGTTATGGGTAAATTCAGGTGGGCCGGTCAGACTTAAAAATAGAGCTAGTAATTTACGAAGTACTTCGTGCGCGGCTTACCAAAACGTGTACTAGCCTTTTTTAAAGTCTGACAGCCCCACCTGAATTGTACCCATAAATCTATGATCCGCGCCACTTAGAGAGCTTAGATCTAATGATTACGAAGTACAGGCTTCTAAGAGGTCTAGACTCACTTTAAAATTGGTTTATTCTATGGTTTAAGGATCTATACTAGGATAAAAGAGCCAGTTAGATGTTTAGGATTCTAGCAATCTACGCTAAGTAGTGGATTTATTAAGGGGCTGTCAGACTCAAGAAAAGGCGAGTACGAATACCCATAGTCCTGAAGGGAGGAATCGCAGGGTTTGGGTGGACTACTACTTGCAAGTGGAGAAGTGTTGGCCATGCGTTCTTCGAAGGTTGGGGGCGAAGACTAATGCGAGGCTGCGCCATGACTTTATACGCAAAGTAAGGCTACGCAGTGGACTAGGAGCACGAAGCCACTTTTACTTCTAATCGGGAGGGAGGTTGTAGAAACTGCTACAACAGAAAATCCGTAACTGAGGAATATAAGTTTTTAAAAGATCTTCATGAGCATGATGGATTTCGAAAAGCCAGAAGCGGAATTAAGAGGCTCAAAAAGGGTATCAGAACTATTGTAGAGTATAGTAATGTCAGGGGCTTAAGCGAGGTGCTGCAGATCCCCTCGCTCTGAGGCAGCCAGTCATAGCCCCTGGTACAATCCTTTTTTTTTTTTCCAGATTTAGTATATCATCCCGTCAGCCAATATTTTACTTCTAACGCGCTGGTTGGACGAGGGGGGGCGGAAGGGGCCATTCCAACGGCACGGATCGCCTGAATTAGAATAATACAGTATACTATACTCTGTGCGTAAATCACACCAGAAATGAGGCTCGGGGCCCACTAGTAGTCCCCATACTACGATCCATGCCATACCCTACTCCAACCCTCGCCTCCCAAATTGTTTCTCTCTGCTTGCGACCGTCAAACAAACTCATTTTCCCCGCAGTTGGTCGCGGTACTGTCTCATATCGTTCTAAACTTTGAATCAATACATCACTATGGATTCAATTTCGTCCAGCTCAGAATTTGCAACTCCTACCCCTTTTGCAACTCCAAGCTCTAATGCAACTTCTACAGAATTTGACACTCCAACCTCTATTTCAACTCCGACCTCTTTTAAAACTCCAACCTCTTTTGCAAGTTCAAGTCCAGTTCCTACTACTGTAACCACCGGTAATGGAACGACTAACGGCACTATATCACCGCTGCACACAGTCCACAAAGGGCTTTCAAATGGAGCAGCCGCAGGAGTTGGAATCGGGTGCGCAATAGGTGGTGCTATCTTAGCTCTCATCGCAATTGCTCTCTTCACTCAATGTAGAAAGAGGCGACCAAATGACATCTCAAATATCACATATCAGAACCCTCCGCGAGCAAAAGCCTCCGACGACTATGACTCTAAATCGACAAGTGTAATTCCTTTGGTGGACGTTCCTATCGAACGAGCGGACGACAGCCAGATCAAGAAGTCTTTGACAGACTTGAATGAGTTGATTAATCAGCATGTTGAGAACCACTACCACAATCAGACATTTACGGGACAGCCAGCGGATTTGGAGAGAGAGCTGTCAAAGTGTGGGTTTAATGGAGCTGGATCAGAGAGTGCGGGTTACATGGCATCTATCTTGATAGATCCTCGAACGAGAGGTGCCGGAATGCGAAAGCTTATAGCCTATGTGATCCTGGCACATTCTCAGCCAAATGCGCCGAAATTACTTTCTCTCCTGCCTGGTAGCATATCTGGAGTTTCTCGAGCCATGTTGCAAGTCAGAAGACGTCCTGGGGAAGAACAAGGTAATTATGACCCCAACTCGACGCAGACTAAGCAAATATTAACGCAATACTCTCTCTACAGCTTTCGAGACAGCTTTCGCAAAGTGGCGTCAACTCAGTGCCTTCCTGCTCAATTCACCAGAATATCGCGATGGAACACTCACGGATGACGATCTGAAATCTTCTATTCTTGAGAATGTATTGTTGCTCAACGAGGTTCTCGAACCATTCATCAGCCAGGGGCAATATGCTCAGCGACAACAAGCAGACAATCTCTCCTCGATTGTACAGGAGGGCGCAGATACAGCTTTACTCCTTTTCTCGCAACCCACTAAGACGGTGTTTAGATGGTCTGCGGAAAGAAACACAGCAACGAACAGTTTGGTGGTCTTCCCTTCTGTTGCAGAGGAGGTAAAAAATGGTGTCAGGTCTTTGAAAGTCATTGTACCAGCTACAATTGAACAGCTTTAACGATACATCGTGCAAGTGGGGTTATTTGCAGAAAGAGCCACTAAATTTTAAGGCTTTGAGTTTGTCAGTTTGTCTTGACTTAAACCTGCCCTGTTATTATTTTGAGCGCAGCCTTGATGGTTTTAATGTGTTTATTCTTCAATTTTTGATTGTACAATGACGTCTATGTGATCCCTGCTTTAGTCTGAACCTGCTTTAGCGACATTAGCAGTAAATGATATCAACTTTTTCAGTATTAGCAGAATCCATTTCAACTCCTCTCGCCTAGCGCCTCCTGAGCCTTCACTGAAGTTTAGCAAGCCTCGGCTTCCTACTGTACCTAAAACTTTACATCTTCTAATATCTGAAGTATGACTTAGTACTATACAATTGGGACAAGCAGCCGATGACTTCAGCAAAGAGAAACGCTATTCAGGGCGGAGTTAAATGCACCAAACCTTTAGCGGCTAGCGCATTGAAAAGTCTACTGATTAGATCCTAGATCAGTACTGTACTAAGACTACAATTTCGACCCCGTTCCCTCATCAGCCTTAATCTCAACCAACAGCTTCCCCGTGTTAACGCCATTGTACAACTCGGCCAGCGCACCGGGAGCCGCAGACAAACCACCCTTAATAATCGTCTCTTTTCGCTTCAACTTTCCTTCAGACAACCATTGCGCGAGTTCTTTGCCGGCGGCTGCGAATTGGGACGCGTAGTCGAAGACTATGAATCCTTGCAACCTGGAGGTGGTTGTTAGGCTTTTGCATTGGGTTGGGAGAAGATGGGTGCGGGGGCGGGGATTACCTGATGCGCATAGCGATCACCATTGAGAGGTTCTGAGATGAGTTTGATTAGCATTGGATTGGATGGACAGTGGAGTGGCGGGGTCGTATGTATGTATACCTTTGGTCCCTTTGCCTCGGCAGAGTTGTATTGCGAGATAGCTATCCAAGAGTCAGTCAGTCAACCATTGACCACAAGCAAAGCAGCACAACAGCGAGAGAGGGGTTATAAACATACCACCACACATCACAAACCTCGCGTGCGCCTTCGCCCGGCTCAACGCCAACTCCAACACCTCGCCCCCAACATTATCATAGAAAACATCAATCAGATCCGGCGTCTTGGCTTTAAACTGCTTCGCAAAGTCCACAGCCTTGTAGTTCAACGCATCGTCGCAGAATTCTTTGAGCCAAGCTACCTTCTCATCACTCCCCGCAATACCTAATACCTTTGCGCCTTTCAACTTGGCGATTTGACACGCTACGCTGCCCGTAGCTCCAGCAGCTCCAGACACGACGACGAAATCGCCGGCCTTGACTTTGCCGATGTCGATTATGCCGAAGTAAGCGGTGAGGCCGGTTGGGCCCAGGGCGCCGAGCGTGTCGGTGAGTTTGCCGCCTTCTGGGACTGAGAGGGGCTTTGTAGTAGGGTCATTGCCGTCTACAATGGCAAGTTCAGTCTGAGTTTCCAGAGTCAGCATAACTTAAAAACAGGTTCAAATTTCGAGACTTCTCAGGGGCTCAAAATCTCCCCGAGAACTTTTTGAAAGGGCAGAAGCTCTTTCGAAGGGGGATGGCATGCTCAGGGGAGTAACTTACCCAGCCGACATTGCTCTGGACATACCCGCCAGCGCTATAAGACGCCGCTTTACTCGCAAGTACTTTACCGATAGCAGCTCCCCTCATTTTCTCGCCAATCTGCACTGGCGGCACATAAGAGCGGACATCTACAAAGCGTCAGTCACGTGTGGGGGATGCAAAAATAAAGGGGGCGGGGCGGGGGCGGGGTTAAGGTGGGCAAACAAACCATTCAACCAACCACGCATCGCGGGGTCTAGAGACAGATAAAGAGTCTCAACAAGAATCTGCCCATCTTTAAGATCAGCCTCTGTGATAAGTGGATCACTTTTAACAGAGAAGGTCTCGTTGGGGACAATGGAGGCCTTTGGGCGAGCAGCGAGCACGACGGTTTGGTAGGTTGATTGGGACATGATGTTTCGTGGACGGGTGGTGGTTGGGTTTTGGTTTCCCATCTTAAGATAGTCGAGGAGAGGAGAGGAAGCTTTTATATGAATGGTGTTTCGTCGAGTCAAGCTATGGGCCGGCTAGAGAATTACAAAGCAATGATCCCACAAATATATGGATTCTGCAGAACGATCGATCGGTTGATTGATTGTACCATCCACATAGGTTGAAAAGTATGTTGAAACAGGGTTGGCTCCTTCAAAAGCTAGCCGCCCCGCCGTGCCTCGGTTCGGAGGCCTTCCTAATTGGGAATAATCTCCGATAGCAACTATACTCCGTAGGTAGTACAAAGTGTTATTAACAACTGGGAAGTAGCTTGAATAGTGATATATTTGTAAGAAGTTTACTATAGATGTCCATTTGGATATTTGGGATACCTAGCTTCCAGATGAATGATTAGAAAGTTTAATCATGTAGGAGGTGGAGACGGGAAGACTGTTAGCCCATTGACCACGCTAATGTCGGTATAGCAAATCCTGTGAGGGGAAGGAAGTGCCGTCGGATACTCCGTCCCAAGTTCTGAGGAGTGAGAGAAATACTCGATTCAATTGGATATACATATGGTTGCCTATGTACACAGCTCAAGGTAGCAGGGGAGATATCTAAGGATCGGGTCATCCTCTAATACAGGCTTCAAGCAGCAGCTTATTTTCTTGTTAGTGTAAAGGTAGTTCAACTATCTACGATTTAACTTTGTCAAGTCCTCGACGTCCCGGCTATCCTTTTACATTCAAAGCATGTATTGAAAATAAGGATTCTCTTTGTCCGTCAGATCCTGGAAAGCCATTTTACTTCTGTCCACATCGTTCAACTCCAACTTCGATCGCCGTTTATTCTCTCTTGCAAGCACGATGTACAGTGCAACGGATGCACAAATTGTAATGCAGTAACTGGAAGCATTAGCAACTATGCCTGTATCATAACATGATGGACTCACCATATTATCAAACCAAGCCAAAGTTCAGGATAATGTCTGGACTTAGTTTGAGATTTGATCAATTGAGGGCCCACGATGTTTCCAACGCAGTAAGCTACGAATATCGTCGCCGCCATGAAGCACTTCTTCGTCTGCCCTGCTACGTTTGCCATCCCCACAGTGATAATGAGAGAGACGACAGCACCAAAGGTGCCAACGATAGAATACCCTGCCACTGGCGAAGCAGCATGGTGATGCCACGAACTTTTCCATATCAAGGCACAGCCCGCAATGACCGGCAAGCAGCATAGTATGAGCAAGATGATACGTATATTGGGGACACGGGAAGAGAGATACCCGGTCAACAGGATGGAAATGAAACAAATGCCCCCAAGAGGAAATTGGAAGAGAATTGAGTCAAGTGTGGAGTATCCAAATGTCGAGACAATTAAAGGACCAAAACCACTTACAGCCCCATTTACGGTATAAGCTGAAGCCATCATCAAAGCCACTAGCTATACTTTTATATCCAGGAAAGATTCTCGGATTTGGGACCACTTGAACTTGGTGCAGCGGACACCGGTTTGGCCAAATCTCAGGCGTTCAGTGGCAACTACCCTCTCTTCTTTCGTGAGGAACCAAGCAGAGACTGGAGAATCTGGTACAGCAAAACAGCACAGACCGAACAGAAACGTGAGGGCTCCAGCAAGCAAGTAGATGTACTGCCAACGCTTAAGATCGCCCCCATTGATCTGCCCGAAGCCGTAATTCAATGCCCCGCCAATGATGGTGAAAAGACCCGTTGAGGAGAACCACCAGCTCTGCCTGAGCGATTGCTCCCTCTGGGTATAGAATGAGCTGACGATGCACATGAATCCCGTAGGTATGACGCTCTCGACGAAGCCTAAGAAGAAGCGTTGAGCATATAGACCCCGCCAGCTTGTTACAGCTGCGGTCAACATGCATATTAACGCCCAGAGACACACCACCCCTCCCAGTATTCTTCCCATTCTAAACCTCTGGAGAGCAAACGTCATGGGGTATAAGCCCGCCAACATCCCGAAATAGAACATGGAGGTTGCCCAGCTCAGACGTGACGTATCCGTTGTGGGAGGCTTCGTATGGGTATCGACTTGGGAGAGGTGGAGATTGGTGGTCATTCCGAAAAGGACCGCAGAACCTAGAATTGCCTTTGAACATTAGCAAAGGTCCATAAAGATAGCATTGTTATTGTTACCTTGTCATAGTATACCAGGCCGTATCCTAAAATCATCGCAGGGACCAAGTACCAGTCGATTTTGCGCACAACGCGAGCTTCCACTGCGGGGTCAATTGCATGGCTATGCACCCCCACTATCGCGATGGCTATATCTTGGCCTTCGACATTGGTTCTTGTGGCATCTTCGAGATCTGTGGGAACATTTGGAGCTTCTGCTACAGTCTTCTCGGGGTCCTGAAGTTGTGCGCTCATATTTTTCGTGTTGTTGAGGATCGGGAAAAGCCTTCATCGGGACCCGCACGAAGATATCTTGAGCTTCATGCCATGACACGCCACTAGAAAAGTTTCTCTTCCACATTAGCACTGCCGTAGCGTTGGAAATTACTGAAATCAACCGTTCCTAGCATAGATGATTAAGACCCGGGAAAATCCAATAATACGAGTAGGTTCCCATATTGCTTTGATTTTTCTTCGATTTTCAGAGTAGCGGACATTCCGTACTTCGAGTTATGTTGCGTTCTCTTTATACGCGTCGAGAAAGCAAAGAACCTTTGGCAGGGTTCTAGCAGACTACTAAAGCTTCTTGACAGCTTACTAGACGATTTCATGTAGCTGAGAAATTGCCGAGGTGCTCACGTTGACTTAGGGCCTTATTTCGAGCTGAACGAATGTTCCCTACTCCGTAAACCTTTAAAGATCAAAAAGGGGGCTAGCAGAGCGCAAACTAAACGAGAAGATAACATTTTTCTCCCTTTTTTAGTCATTTTATTCATATAGCCTTGTATACTTACTACCCCAAGGCTCATCACCTTTTGGTTTTCGGACCCTTCTTGAGATCAAATTTGTCCTTATTTGGTTACCTTGCCTACTTTTTGCTGTAATATCTACTTTTTTGCTATGCCTAATATAGGGGGACAATATCTCCCTGAAACCTAGATATCCACCCGATAGTTACCATAATGCGACCGCGACCGCTCGGTACCATTGAATTTGTACTATCAGTACGCGAGACGATAGGGGGCACTAGCGCCTTCCAGCCCATTGTTTTCGACACTTGCAGCAGAAGTATAAGTGCATGTCACTATATCTGAAATAAATGACATGTTGCCCTTTCCGCATAGAACTCTAATTCAAATATACAGAGATATAGTATCAGGAGCAATTCCCAACCCCAAAAACATCACACAAACACTGTTCTTCCGCCGGACAACTAAAGCACATCATTAGCAACCAGTCCCACTCCACTCCACTCCGTCTCAAAAACAAGAACAAGAACAAGAAGAAAAACAAGGAAACAACTTACTGCACAGCCTCCATCCCAAACCACAAATGCCAAGTATACTCCAACACCCTCCCACTACTCCTCGAATCCAAATCTGTCTTCACCAACCACTCCCTGAGCGCCCTCCAAGTCTCCACCCCCCTCCTCCTAACCGCCTCCCGCGTAACCGCAAACTGCGCACAACACGGCGCCGCTATCTTCTCCGGCAATTCCCCATCCTCGCTCCAAAACTCCCGTAACACCGAAGATATCTGCACATCTCGCGGCGAGCCCTTTAGATCGTGCAACGGCGCCACGTCGCCGGACAGCTGGATGACATTCTCACACCCCGGGAGACAGCGCGGGGATAGGTAACCGTGTTTCTGGACGGACAGCGGGTTCAGGTGCGCTAGTTCGTAGGCGGAGGAGAATTGCTGGTGCCAGGTTTGAGCGTGGTCGTGGTGGAAGAATATTATGTCGGGCAGCGTGTCGTAGTTGTCGATTATGTAGGTCAGGTAGACCATGGCTTCATTACCTTTGTTGACGGGTACGGTCAATTCGGCGGAGGGAGAATCAGTGGTGTAAATATGGGGTGTCCAGTGTGAGGATTGTAGGGCGGGAGTCAGCCAGGTTAGATTTGAAGAGGTGGTTGAGGCGATGACGAGGGCTTTCGATAGGTGGGGATGTGGGTTGATTGGCTTTTTAAAAGAAGGGGAGGAGGGCCTGCTTGTCCAGTGGAAGATGAGGGAGACGAAGAGGGCGAGGAGGAGGGGTTTGAGGGTGAAGGAGAGAAGACGTTGGGTGCGGCCTGGTTTAAGCATTGTGACAACAACATTAACACGAGACAAAACGAAAATGAGAAGGAGAAAGAACACAGAGATCAGATGAACGGAGAAGGTTGAGATTTATATCTTCGTAGCTGACAACTAGTAGCTTCAGATAGTGCTATCGAGAGTTTGAAACACGCAGGAGAGGGAGGGGGTTGAAACCGTGAAACATGCTTCAGATTTGACGCCGCCGGTGCACAAGTGCGTCACATTGTGAATACCCTCAGTTTGGGGACCTCGAAACATTCTGATGGCTTGAAAATGGGATAATGAGGAACACTTGGTTTGATTAAGATCCATGTTTTATTTCACCCCGGATGGATATTCAAGGTACAGTAAGGTGTTCGTGGCGAGCGGACCCTCGTCTCGAGTTGCCATTCTCATGTTCAGTTTCGCTCTACAGATGAGCTTCAGATCCCCTTTAAAAACTGTATTAATAGATGTATCAATAGATCATTGAGGAAATAGGAAGCTAAATCTTTTCTCGAAATAGGAATATACAAAGCATCTCTGCTCTTGAATTTCTGTTGAAGTAAAGGTAGATTTATCAGGGTCAGGTCAGGTACACGCCCGCCTCCCCACTTTTGCTTGTACATACGCCTCTTCTCTTTTATAGCTACCTACCTCACAACTTCCTTCCAACACTCAATTACACTTGCATCTTCATCTTTCTCATTATAAAAAAATGGGCGTAATTCGCACTTTCCTCTCAACCGCCGTCCTTGGCGGCACCGGCAGCTTAGCAGGATTCGCATTCTGGACGCGCCATGGTATGTCCTTTCCTCCCCCTCCCCCTCCCCCC